AGCCTCACAGGGTGATAACGGAGTGGGAATAGCTTCGTCTACGGCCCAGGAAGCCCGTACGGCATCGCCGGCGAGCATTCCTCCTTCATCTCTAGGGTCGGGAATAGCTTCACCGGTCGCTCAGGACGCGAATCGCCGGTCGGGCCGGATTAGGAAGCGGCCAAAGCATTACGAATAGTAATACTGTCGAATTTACAATATTTCTTCACTATTCTCATGCAATTCTCTAAGAATTTGACGAAAAATGGGTGCTAGCCCCTACAATTCCTTCATTTCTATAGAGTTTTTGAAAACAGCATCTATTTCCTATTTGGGACTAGCGCTGTGCTTTTGGCATGGTGGTGGTAGAGTACGAAAGGGACTTCATGTAATTAGAGGGTTGCATAGTAAATGTAAGTACCTCTAGTTTGTGTTGGAAGCATGGTCGCTGGTGGCAGAAATATGTCCGGCAGAAAATATATTAGCCTGAATCCTCAGGCAGGGGGGGTGTTAGCATCCAAAGGGGGGGTGTCTGTATCAATCCCCTATATATATTACCAAATGCTAACTTCCTTTTTCTCATGATTAATAGCCACTATATTGCTGCTTGCTTTTCCTTAAGTAGTGGAATTGAGTTTCCTTTTACCGCTGTCAATTAAAGTGTTTCAAAGAGCGTCGTACTATATTCATCTGTATAGGGGTCACGATAGACTTACCTAGTGGAAATCGGTTGTTTCGACGTAGGCAAAAGACATGCCAAGACATATACATCTTGGGGGGTTCAACGCTCCCGGCGCAACGCACCTTGAATATCATTCTTTTAAATCATATATTTAGACCCATTGATGGTGATTATAAAGGAACTGGGTGATAGTTTGGGCCTGACCTCCCAGGCAAAAACACAAGTCAAGTTACGATCGGAGAGTCGATCGCGCAATCTCACTATCCACATTGCTACATCGCTAGAATTGCGCTTGCAGATGAAAAGATGTCTCGTCGACGAATCCGAACATTCGTGCGGGTCCTGCCATTCGTTACGCACGAGTAGTAATGGCTCGAGCTTTTCCAAGGCTGTTTCACTGCATTGCATTGCATGAACCCACACAATATTTTCATTCTGACCGAGTCAATCTATTGAGTCATGCATAATGCTGACTGAGATGAATTGAGGTCTAGGTACATTGATTACATTCTTGCCTCGCCTAGGAGTCATACTAAAAGTCATACTTGCTGCTCCGACGGTTGCCGATGGGCGGGCCAATATCTAGCTACAGACAGTTATAGGAACCTTGGAGGGTACCATCTCCTTGTGGATTCACGCGTAGCCATGCTCTACGTAACATTACCATCAACACATCCAAATGTCCAAACTGGGGGATTACGAACACCTCGCATATTGCTTTTTCCTCCGGGCTACCTCTTCGGCCCTCTTGCAGTGTACATGCATTGGTTCTCAGACTCGAGAACCAGAGCGAAGGGAGTGAACTCTAACTATGACACATCCCATGTACTGTAGCTGACCCCGTGCAAGTACAGGTGCATAGAAGTGCATATGGACGCGTTGATGGGTCAATCACAATGTTCGGTTCCCCGTCCATAGATGCGAGGGCGATCCAGATTGAGTGAAAAGTCTGTGAAGGGCGCTAGAATCAGAGCTAAGCATGCAGGATAAAAGAAACTAATTGTTATTTAAAACATACTTACTGCAACTCGCATCTGTAAATGTTAGGGTAGCGCCGCCAGAAAAATACTTATTTGTCGGTGGCCCCCACTCTTTTCATTTCCTACACCTGTCCTACCTATCGCGATGCTGGATAAAAAGCCTTTAGGATACCGATGGCGGTCGTCTCGACTTCTGGTGGTTTCCTCAATCACAGTCGCTTTATTCGCAGGTGCGTGTGGCTGGTGTCTCACATTTCATGGGCGTTTTGAGTCATCCTAACAATTCAGCAGAGACATTTCTCTACGGGTTCCTCACGCCGATTCTGAGCTATATGCTTGAAGAACGTTTACATATCGACCCATCTCTAACTCAGAGCTATACAACCGCATTACTCACCGCACATGGATTCTTCGGTCTAGTTTCTGCGCCGATAATCGCACATCTCGCCGAGAAGACGCCGAGCCAAAAGACACCGCTCTTGATTGCTCTGGCAGGATGTTTCGTGGGTACTCTTATGATTGCGCTCACAACCTCAGGTATTTGACTCTCAGAGCCATGACAGATATTGTCCTGAGCTGATTTTAGTGAACAGTGTGGGCTCTCTTCCTTGGTCGCAGCTTGCAAAGTATAGCCGGGGCCGGTACTTGGGTAGTTGGATTTTCCCTATTAGCTAATAATGTGGACAAGGAACATCTTGGAAAATCAATGGGCCTCGCAATGGCATTTGTCACTGCGGGAATGGTCGGAGGACCAACCGTGAGTGGTACGCTGCTTCAGTTGTTTGGATACTGGGCCGCATGGTCACTCCCCATGGTTGTGCTTGTCTTGGATATTATTGCGCGACTGGTTATGATTGAACTTCACCCTACGCATTCGTCCGATACTTCAGGCAAACCAAGCGGTGCCGCATCCTCTGAGAACACGGAGACATCGGAAGAAACAACAGCTTTGCTTTCCGAAACGCGCGACAACGGCAAGAAAACTCATTGTGAAATGGAGAGCAAACAAGGAACAAAGCAAGATTATTACAAGATAATGCTCACCGACGCACGAGTTCTGACCGCATTGTCCAATGTTGTGGTTGTCTCTTCTCTTATCGGCGGTATCAACAATACCCTTCCTGTTCACCTGAAAGACGCATTCGGCTGGAAAAGCTTGCTTATAAGTGTGATGTTCTTCTGCCTGCAGGTTCCCAATATCGCTTTAAGTGGACCAGCTGGATGGCTTCGTGACCGAGCCGGTTTGCGGGGCCCTACCACCCTGGGCTGGAGTGCTCTGGTCCCTCTGATATTGCTTCTGGGAGTCCCTGGGGACCCCCGTTTCCCTTGGGCCAGTGGTAACGCAGCTGGTAAATCTATCTTCACTAGCTCGTTGATTGCCATGGGTACTGTTTTACCCCTTGTGCGTGGCGTGGGAGCTGTGCAACTGGCATGTGAGTGATCCTCAACATGTCTGGTGTGATAATTTGACTGGCATACTGATTCAATCTCCTTTTTAGATGTCGTCAAGGACATGGAAGCAAAAGATCCGCATATGTTTGAGGCCAATAGAAGCAATTTGCGGGTCTTTTCCATGACTGAAGTTGGATATAGCGTCGGAATGATGGTTGGGCCCTTGTTGAGCGGCTCACTGGTCGAAGGAGTTGGTTTCTTCTTTATGACAGTAGCACTAGGTGAGCACGTCGATTGATCCAATATTCCTATTCAAGTACTTACCTTTTTTAGCTGTCATTTGCCTCGTTCAAGCTTGCGTTTCGTGGCGCTGGCTTGACGCTAAGTCTCCGACACAAGTTTCTGACCATTCCGCATAAACGACTCCAGTAATAGAGTCGATCATTTAGATGAAACTGCTTTATAAAAGAGCTTATCTCTGACTTGGAGGGGTCCAAAAAGCTGGAAAAAGGTACCATTGTAGCATATCCAGATTGAATGTACAGAATTTGATACAAAACGACTAAAATGATTTGTGAGGCCACATGCAACTTTATCTATAGCTTCAGTATCTGCTTGTATCAGATGTAAAGCACAAGGCCAAGATTTGCACTACTGGCCATTCGTGGTTGGTGAGTGATAGGGGCGGGACTTACCCCGCGACGAGGTAGCAGTGCCTTCTTCATAGATCTCTGCAATGTTTTAACCGATCATTTCCTCGAAAAAGGATCGCTTTTGAAATCAAGATGGCTAACCAGCAGGGTGAAAGCTCGCAGCTCGCTAACTGTGACCATATCCCTATCATCGATCTTTCAACTTTAGATAGTCCTCATCTTGAAGAACGGCAGCAGCTGGCTCAATCAATCTATGATGTGTGCACCCAAGTTGGCTTCTTCTACATAAAAGTAAGACCATTCTATTACCACCTGGGATATAGCAGCAGCTAAATCCATCGTGCCAGAGCCATGGAATTCCAGAGGACATGATAAGAGAAATCCACGATGCCGCAGAACGCTTCTTCAGCCTCCCTGAAGAACAGAAGATGAAGTTCTATATCGGAAACTCACCGGTATGTCTGTATACACGGCTAGAATCAAGATCTGCACACTGAAGTCTCTCAGAAATTCCGCGGATACAGTCCTCTCGGTGGCGAGAAATCTACAGGAACAGACGATGATCCCATCGCCGCAGAAGATGCAGTCAGTGCTCTCTCTGAAGCATTTGATATTGGATATGAGACTGCAATGGATGTTCAAAAGTCGAAGGATGACCCTCTTCCTCGTGATCCCTATGGATTGTATGGAGACAATCAATGGCCTGACCAGGATACGCTGCCGGGATTCTCCAGGACCTACATTGAGTATTGCTCCTTGATGCTAGGACTCTGTCGAAAGATGATGAGAATCTTCGCTCTTGCTCTCGATTTACCTGAAGGACACTTTGACTCTATGGTTCATAATCCGGGTGTTACGTCTAGGATGATGCATTATCCGCCTCAGCCAGTGAAAGAGGAGGTCCGTGAGGGGCTTGGGGCTCACACGGTAAGTTGGAGCGGCGGCAACATTAGAAGAACTAGCTTTTGACATTTCTTAAGGACTTTGAATGCTTCACTATCCTTTCCCAGGGTAGCGTGCCAGGTCTACAGGTCCTGAACCACAGCCGCGAATGGATACTGGCACCTCCATTGCCAGGTACACTGGTTGTTAACATAGCGGATTGCTTGTCAATTTGGTAAGAGCAGTGCCACAGTTTCCTGTCTTCCACACTAATTCCTCCAGGACGAACAAAAAGTTCAAATCAACTATCCACCGGGTGACAAACTTAACGGGACAAGAGCGCTATTCGATTCCTTTTTTCTTTGGTGTCGATTATGATGCAACAGTGTCGGTTTTACCGAACCATATCTTGGACGACAGACCAGCATGCAAAGAGCCTTTCAAAGCAGGCGAGGTGAGTGATGGAACTTCATGATTTCCAGGTTATAATGTGAACTAACGAAAACAAAGTGGGTTCGCGAAAAGCTGTCAAAGGCATACGTAGGCTATGATGGCTAATTGCTTACACTGGGAGAACTAAATAGTAGGTTAGCCGTTCCTACTTTTTTTCAAGGGGTTTCATTGCTTATTTGCAGTCTCAACGCTATACGTGTATATGTATACAGGTCTCCACCAAGGACTGACCAATGTCCCCAATAGGAAAGCAACATAGTGATTTATGTCTCTAGTCAATGCATAAATAACAACCACTATATGAAATCTCGGTATATAATCCCATGGCCAATAAAGAAACATCGGGGTTTGTAAGCATCAACCTGATCCCGTCCCACAAGGGAACCCCGCACCCGATAACGTGACGGCTGAGTGCTGAGTATAAGAGACGCAAATTCTCCCGGAAATAGCATATCAAGCAACTTCACATCGCAATGTCATTGCCATTTAGCATTCCGCCCTCCACGGCGACGACCTCTATCACACCATTCAAAATTGCTGTCCCCCAAACGCAGCTTGTCGAGCTCGAAACGCTATTGAAGATAGCTAAATTCGCCCCGCATACATACGAGAATTCCCAAATAGACCGTCGTTATGGTGTTGGCACCGATTGGCTAGTGACCATGCGGGATCTGTGGCTGCGGTCTTATAGCTGGTAGTTACTAGTTACTCCACATCTTTATGCATCATGCACTGAACTGCCGAAATAGGAGAGCTACCGAGGATCGTATTAATAGCTTCCCCCATTTTACTACTGATATAAATGGGGTCAATATTCACTTTGTGGGTCTATTTTCGCTGAAGAAGGACGCTGTTCCTGTTCTGTTGATTCACGGGTGGCCTGGTAGGTTTTATTCTTTGCATGACGCGAGCCATTTTAGATTCTAAAGATTAATGACTTGATCACAGGAAGCTTTTTGGAATTTTTGCCCATCTTGCAAAAGTTCAAAGAGGAATATACCCTGGAGACGCTGCCTTATCACTTGATTGTACCTTCACTGCCAGGTTACGCCTTTTCCTCTGGTCCTCCATTGGATAGGGATTTTGGCACGGGTGACGTTGCTCTTCTTTTAGATCAATTGATGAAAGACCTTGGATTTGAGAGTGGCTATGTGGCCCAGGGAGGTGATATTGGCAGTCGCATTGCCAGGCATTTGGGCGCGGACCATGAAAGCTGCAAAGGTATGCAGTCCTATACATCCATTTACCAGACAGTCTCAGTTTGATCTAACATATTCTGGTACAGCTGTACACGGTGAGTGATATCTCTACAAATGCTGCAATGATTCAATACCAATGAGAAGTCAGTCAACGTGGTTTTTATGAGACGTCCAGACAACATGACAGACGACCATCTCAGCGCCTATGAAATAGAAGGCATAGAGAATTTGCAAAAGTTCGCAGCGTTCGGCAGTGGATATGCGAATGAGCACGGCACTCGACCCAGCACCATCGGCCACGTTGTATCCTCAAGTCCTATCGCTCTTCTGGCGTGGTGAGTTCCATGAGACTTAAGGCAACCCCGAGAAACTTGGGATACTAATACTCGCAGGGTGGGTGAGAAATTCCTGGAATGGGTTGACGATCCGCTCGCTCCATACGATATCTTGGAGTCTGTCACACTGTATTGGTTGACAGAGACGTTCCCTCGGGCTATTTATGCCTATAGACAGGTGCGTTGTTTTTCCAATGTTTATGGACACCAAAGCAGGAGTCTCTGACCAACAATAATATAGAACTATCCACCTCCCCCTATTCCGGCTTCCAATGACCCTCGCTGGTATATCCATAAGCCATTTGGATATTCTTCTTTCCCTATGGAGATTGCTCGACTACCGCGCTCCTGGGTCGAGACAACTGGTGATTTAGTTTTCTATGAACAGCACCAGAAGGTATGCAACTTAGCAGAATGACAGATTATACAGTACATACTGACGTTGATGCGCTAAAGGGTGGCCATTTTGCGGCGCTAGAAAGACCAGACGAACTCAAGACCGACTTGACCAATTTCATTGACCAGGTATGGCCAGGTATTGTAGGTGCTAAGTGAGCTGAATCCTTCTGTGGCAATGGACTTGCCAGAGAACCATATGGAAAAGACTTGGATGCTGAAAGAAGGATCGAAAGGCGACTAGAAAGATAGTAAGAAGATGAATACGAATGCCTTTGTCACCAATTAGCTCCAAGTGTGTATAATACCTACTAAGTAGGGCATATAACTCAAGTAAGGCTAGAAGGTAAGGAAGAAATGCAAAGGTTGTAGAACCGTGTACACTGGAACGAGAATTGATGCAGTAAAACGCAATTATTTTTCGAAGAGCTGTGATTTACATTGATATATTCAAATTCGTTGCCCAATCGCAAAATACATGGAAGTATACAGACAGATGCATGCATGCAAGAAAGAGGAGGTGGCAGAAACAAAACACGGGATTCCCATCCTCACACCTTCGCTCTCCCACATCACTCAACATATTACCAGATACAGAAATGTCCTCCCACGACGAGATATTCTCCGACGAATCAAGCTTCTACGGCAAGCTCTCGCCATGGCAGCCTGACCAAAAAAACCAAGCTAATCTCCATCTAGGCGACGAAGACACAAAGATCCAACTAGAAAAAGCATGCGCAGCATTTGACCCAGAACCATTCTGGGCGCAGATCCATCAAAACCTCCCATCAACGCAACAGCATAATGCACGCGCACCAACTCAGCCTGCAAAGGCATCCTCATCTGATGTCAGCATGAAAGATGCATCGCCATCACCCACCACACCACCGCAAGACCGTCGCGGCAAAGCAGAGCCAGTAGAGTCATTCCTGTCCCGTCTTCCGCCGTCAAAGTTGAGTGCGCATGATGCAGACTGGATCTGGATGTGGAACCCGGCAGGATCGCGCAAGAATGGCGGGGATGTTGCTTCTTTCACCAGGAAAGGGTATGAGCTTCTCAATGCGTACGAAGAGGAAAGCACACGGCTCCGGCAAGTTCATGATGCTTCAGGTGCGAAAACTACTGCTGGCTTGACTCGTAAGCTGAATCCTCTGCGTCATGAACTGGAGAAGGCGATCCTCGCTCTGGCGCGGGAGACTGATGTTACTATGGGGAAGTGGATGCTGTTCCCGTCAGTGGATCATGTTGATGAAGTCTGGGGTGCAGTGGTTAGGGCTACGGAGAAGGGGCAGCTGGGTGATGTGGCCAAGGTTGCTACGGATGATGGGTCTGCACAGACGCGTCTTGTTTGCATTTATACGGCTGACTTTGCGGATGAGAAGGATGTTAAGCGCGTGTTGTGCAAATTGGTTGATATGGATCTTGTTGGGAAGGGGAATCGGGGCATTTATTACAAGTCCGATGCCTACACTCATCTCAATATCAATTCGAAAAATGAGTATGGGCTGAAGGCGAGCATGTACTCGAGCCGGGATGTTCTTGCTTGGAAGTAGGTGAACGGAATTGGCTGGAAAATTGTGTATGACTTAATGAGATTATGCTTTATAATTGATATTTTGAATGCAGTGGGTATCTTTGAACAATGCGTCTTTATGTGACGCCTGATGGATCGGTGGTCTCTGCCACCGGAAAGTAGGCTATGCGCCAAAGGGATCCCGAGGCCGGGCAGTAGCCACTTCTGTAAACGCTGGCCTCAAAGCAGGTATCCTTTGGCCATGTCATGAGAAGATGAAATCATCAGTAATCATGCAGGTTTCAAGGATGGGCGGGCTCATTCGGTAAACTCCAAACCCGCATCGGTGGGAGTGGGAAGAGCGTCAACCGCTTGAATGGTGTTGATGAAAGGCACAAAGAGGCTTTCAATCGTCATTACCTTCCTGGCTCATCACTTTTTCACACGATTCTCGGATCTCAGCAACGCCCTTAATCTCACCCCAAGCGTCAAGCAAGTGCTGAATCTCCTTCCAGTCTTTCTCCGCATCCTCCCGCCTATCCTCCGCCACGAGTTTCTCCAGTCTCAGGGGTGCAGCAAGCACCCATCGGACAGTATCCTTCTCATTCTTCAATCCAGAAGCTCCGTCTTCCGCCTTGGCCTCTTTCATTCGCCGCCGCTGCTCCTCCCCTTCCTTGATAAGTCCGCCAGCAGTCTCAGCAACGAACGCAATTGCCGGACCCAAGGTCTTTGTCATAGTCAAGGGAGCACCACGTTCATCCATACTGCGTCGCATCTTGCCAATGGTCTCCACAGCACGGATTAACTTCGAATAATTATCGTAGACGAGTGCTTTCCGCTCTCCGTCGAGAGTCCGGATATCTCCAACAAGCGTATTCTCCGCCTTGAGCACCGTAGATAGAGTCGACGTAGAAAGGAGATGCTCGACATAGCGATGCGGGTCAAAGTCCGCACTGTCAAGCTCAGTTCCCGAAGGTAAAGCGGACGGGTTGGATATATCCCCGGCATCGGTGGTTCGGGGAACGCTGCGCGAGCGAGACGCATCCCTAGAGGCAGATTGATCCGCACCGGGCGGTTTGAGGTTATAGTAATCACGGAGGGCACTGCGATTCCGCCGGGGGTTGAATGAGGGGGAAAGAGCTCGTGCGGTGGACGGGGTAGAAGCGGCGCTGAGCCCGCCGCTGACGTTGGTATTCAAGCCATCGAGAGAGGGGCGGGACGACGGCGGCCCTGGAGAAGGGGCTCGTGAAGAGGCAATCGATGGGCGCGGCGATGATAGAGTCGACATGGTGTTGAGGAGGAAAGAGAGCGACCGGCACCGGCCACCTCGACGGCTTTAAGCGGTGGTCTGTGCTGTTGTTGCGTTGAAGAGCTTCCCCCGAACTTTTGTTTCTCTTTCCACACTGTGCAACATCCATGCTCATGGAGACTTCCACTCCGTCATGGCTAGTTCCGATCAGATCGCCGCTCTGATCTTGAGCACCAAGTCACTCTCTGTGTCTCCGACCTGGCTCAATGCCTTCCTATCCTCCGGCACCGCACCACGCAATGTTCCCGCCTCGGCTCTCGCGAAGACAGCTACTTTCCGTCTTCTAACTTCCGATATCAGAGAGTCGCTCTCTAAGCACCGGTCTTGTGTTCTGCCAACGAACGTCACCGACCCAAATGCCCAAGAACTACGCCTCCACGGCCCTATCCCGGTACAGGTCCTAGACATCGAAGACATCGGCACGAGTCTGTGGAGCCAGATCGAAGCTATTGAGCGTGTCGAGCGAGGAGAGGCTATCCGTGGCCGTGAGATCGTGCGCACTATCGCTGTTGGCGAGGACCCGGAGGTGTCGGAGAACAATCGCTCGAATAACAACAATGCTGCTGCATCAGGCAATAGTGGTTCTGGCCCACACCGTTTGATGATTCAGGACGCAGCTGGAACTGTGGCTACCGGGATTGAGATGCAGCGGATTGAGGGGATCGCTCTGGAAAGGCTTGCTATTGGGGCGAAGCTATTACTTCGGAATCCTACTGTTGCTCGCGGTATGGTGCTGCTCACTCCTGAGTCTGTTACTGTGCTCGGCGGCAAGATCGAGGCTTTGGATAAGTCCTGGAGAGAAGGGAGGAAGGCAAGGCTATTGGAGAAGACTTCTAGTCTGGAAGGATGAGAATTTACGAATGGAGCATTAGGCGCAAAGTGTGATACCCTCATTGATTTAAAAATGGTTATCTGTTTTTCCTTTGTTTTTTATGCTTTGTGGTCGTACTATTCATCCGTACCCCCCTGCCCATGGCAGCATCCTGATATTCAGGATAATCTCTGATACCTAACTAGGCAGTCAAGGTAGATACACTGTGGTTCAACTCCTCCCATCCATTGCACTTCCACGGCGCAACCATGATAGCACGGAGAGCGTCACTGGTCTTACCAGTCTGTGCATAGGCAGCACTGAGATCTGCAGCTTCGAGGTTGCTGTAAGGGGGTACGTTCTTGAGCGCACGATCGAGAGCCATGTCTGCTGGGTAGGCAGATTGCGATGCTGAAGATAGCTCCATCCATCCTGCAGGCTGGCTTGGGGATATCATAACTGCAGCAGTAGCCTCTCCAATGCGTCTCGTATCTTCCGGAAGTGCAGCAGTATCCGTGAATCCCATCGCTGAGATTGCGGCGAGGAGTTTGATCAGTTTAGCTCGGTCATGAATATCGACGCCGTCGCGTGTGATCATGCTGTGAAGATCTGACTCCACGGCCTCGATTGCGTCCCTATCCGCATCTAGAAGAGCAACCGTACCAAGAAGACTGACTGCTCCGATGTGATCGGGGTGCTTCTCAACACAGTCAAATAGCTGCTCCCGGGCAACAGCTCGGTCCTCTTCACCACCCTTGGCCCACAGGACCTGGGCAAGAAGGCAGACCACATCTGGGGCATTGTCTGCCTCCTCGAGAGCGTCGCGGAACATATCAATGGCACGGTCCATGGAGTTTGTGTAGTAGAATGCGAGACCAGCGGTCAGATGGGCGGATAGACGGAGCTTCTTGCAGGCTTCGGGGTCAAAGTTCTCTGCATCTTCCTCTCCGGAGAGAGTAATGGCAAGCTCGGCCTTTTCGGCAGCTTCCTCGTATGAGTGGCTTGCAAGAAGAACACGTGCCAGGTCTGCATTTGCCTGGGCGAACTTAGAAAGAGAGGCGGGGGACTCGGTCTCTTCAAACTCGGTCTCCATGCCTGAGCAAACAGCTTGCAGGCTGATCTCAGCATCTCTGACCTCGCCCATTCTCTCTGCAAGCAAAGCAGAAAGGTGAACAAATGGCAGGTCAGTCGGATTCTGGATGCAGAGCTGGTGTAGAGCAAAGAATGGCTGGATGAGATGAGACACCTCATTGGATGCGGAGGAATCAGAAAGAAGATGATCGAAAAGGTTCAAGGTGTATTGGCGCTTGGGAATAGTAGTCGATGAGTTTGAAATATCAAAAGCATGCTCGAAAAGACCTCTGGCCTCCTTGATTTCACCAACGAGCATTGCAAGCAACCCTTGGCCAACCCAAGCCTGTGCATAGTCAGGGTCGGTAGACTGTGCCCGCGTAAAGACTTCATTGGCAAGTTCGACATCATTTTGTAGGAGATAGAGCGCTCCTAAGTTGGTCCAGACTTGAGCGTTGCGATCGTTCAAATGTAAGCTTCTGACAAACGCATGCTGCGCTACCTTTGGACTCATGCTTGTGGTGACAACACCCAGGGCATTCCAGAATTCAGCATTGCCGGCCTCCAGTTCAATTGCTCTCTTGAAGCATCGCATGGCAGCTTTCAAGAACTTGCGTGACTTCTTGCCCTTCTTGCTAGAATCCGACTGCACGGTGCGGTATGCAAGATACTCGGCCCAGCCAAGGTTGTACCATCCGACTGCCTGGGCATGCAAATCATTCACAGAAACGTGGAGTGCACGCTTGTATGCAAGAATGGACATGTTAATGTAGAAATCAAATGTGATCGGGTCTTGATTTACACTGGACTCGAGCCAATCCTTACCCACGCCATCAATGTCAGTCATGAGGTCAAGGGCCATAGAGTCAAGATTGACGGCAAGTAAAGCCTTGCAGTCAGAGGGCGACAATTTATCGAGCTTGGACTTCATGTAGGAGAAGTTAGAGCAGGCATCGCCGACGGCCTTCCAAAGGTTGAAAATATCACTCTGAATTGGTGCAAGCGAGCTAGCCACTTGGATGGCTTTGCATGAAAGCTCGGCAGCGTCATTGAATATACCCAAGCCCAAACTTTTCAGGGAACTCTCTGTGAGGGTCTGAAGCAGTGCGATGGTTACACCGACGTCACCAGGCCGGGAGGTAAGGACGTGTTCGTAGCTAGCAATTGCATCGTCAAACTCGCCGAGCTCCCGTTTAACATTTGCAAGCATGTATCGCGCAAACCAGACATGATCCTTATCTTCGTCTGAAAGATCTGCCTCCAATGTCTTCGCGTGTTCGAACGCTTTGGTAGCGGCAACATACCGACCAGAGTGGTGGTAACTCTCTGCGAGTCCAACCCAACAATGGTAGTCATTTGGTGACAGTCGAAGCGCTGCCTGGAATGAAGGAATACTTTTGGCATACTGCTGTTTGTTGATCTGCACCGATCCAAGAGCCGCGTATGGCCAGCTGTATCCCCGGCGCTTTGATCCAGGGGCAGGTTTGGCCTTGCCGGAGTCATCCACGCGTTGTGCGACCGCTTCAACAAGATCCCACTCTTTCGAGTCAGCAAAGCCCTTTGCAAGCCGCTCGGCGGCTTCAATCTCAGATGTGGACAATTCAAATGCTTTGTGGAAGCACCGACGTGCTCGGTTCTTGTCCTTCTTGTAGTCGGCATAGTAGAAACCAAGCAGGGTGTAGGCAGGTGCGAAATTCATGTTCGCTTGAATAGAGGCAAAGAGGCTGGCGTAGGCACCTGTACGGTCCTTCCGTGCAGCTGGAGATGGGTCAAGTTCCCACTGACAATATCCAATGCGGTATAAGAGATCAGATGCAAACTCTCTGTTCCCGGGCTGAGCTACCTTCAAATCTTCAAGAGTAGCCGACAGACTCTCCAGCCCAGACTGGAGGTCACCGTTCAGAGCTATGCACCATGCAAGCTCTCCGCGAATCTTGATGTTGGATGTGTCGCGTGCAAGCGCACGCTGCAAGAAGCTAACCGCCGCTTCATAGTCCTGGTCTTCTTTCAGAATCAGACCAATGCCAAGTAGGCAGATGGAGGAGGTTGGCTTTCTTTGTAGTATTTCCTCAAAAATGGCCTTTGCTTCGGGGTGGTGTCGGGGTGATTGATAGTGGATCAAAGAATTGGCAAGTGCAATGTTCAAGAAATCAGTGATGTTGGGGAGTTTAATCCCACTGTACCTGATCAAGTCCTTGACGTTTAACAAACCCTTGCGAGCGACATCAACAACGCTTTCGTATTCCTCCAGGGTGAGGTACAAATTGGCCAGGATACGGTGAGCAAGGATCGAAGATCGAGCAGATTCCAAACCACCGGCCATAAGAATGAGACGCTCTTGTTCGCTGGACATAGTTTCGCCATCTTCGCCATCCAGCGAAGAGACCATCTTCTCTTCGGTCTCAGCATCCGCCGAGGGATCTTTGGGGAAGGGAGAAAGTTCGCTGGCCAGGAATCCCTTCAAAACCTTGGAAAGTCCAGAATCGGGGAAGAACTCCACGAATTCGCGTAGGTGTCCGACATCGTACTGAGAGAACTCAATGTCCTGCCACTCCAGGAAGACTTTCCATGCGGGTTCGAATGGGTGTTTGATGATCACCATGTCATGTGCCGCCTTGAAGACTGCTTTTCTTTTCGCATCTTTCGCCTTCGGCGGGAGGAAATCAAGTTCATCACACGCACGCATGAAGAGCTTCTCCTCATATTCACGTCGGACGGCGTCATCATTGGTCCAGTCAATCAAGCCTTGGTAAAGTTGTTCCAACCCGCTCTTTTTGTATGCCTCCCGCTTGACTTCTCGAGTCACTTCGTCAACCCGAGCTCCGAGACGTGTTCTGCGTTCTCCAATCTCACGATTGATGAATTCCTTCTCATCGCTCTCAGTTACTTCGATTAAGCGCTTATAGGTGTGTGACGGATGCGGCAATCGGCCTTCGAGGAAGTCGTACAACGGCGAGCTTGGCAATTGTAGCTCCAACGCATCTCTTACTTGAGATTTCGAGCCCTGGTTCTTGGCCACTCTCAAGTATTTGTTGACCAGATCCTGGCAGCGTTCCTTCTCGTCACTGGGATTCATCAGCGACATGTCTCTCATATCGCTTAGCCAATGGTTCCACAAGCATACCTGTCTTCCAATATCTTTCCTAGTCGAATGACTACATCGTGAAACGAGTCAAGTTGGCTGGCACCCAGTCTACCGTACAGAGAGACCAATCCCTGCCACGCGGTTCGGTCGTCGCTTTTGATGCGAGCCGCAGCATAATATGCGCCTTCTGATTCCTCGATTTTGTTCAATTTGTCGTTTGCGAGTCCGAGAAAGACGAATCTGCAGAGGAAAACACAGCCAGTCAGTCAAGTTCCATGCAAGATGTGGTGGATCATACGCGTGGTAATTCTTGGGGTCCCGCTTGACAAGATCATTTGCCTTATCTGCAGCATCTTGGAAGTCCTTTGCATCCAAAGCTGTTCGCACAGCTTTCAGCGCCGCTTTGCTCGACATGGCTGTATGTGCATGAGCGGGGAGAAACTGGTGTGGTGGAGAAAGGCGGTCGATCGGTTAGCTTCGATACGTCACTTATCGTTATCGGACCTCTCACCTCTTCTCCCGGGACACAACTGCTTCGATTCTGAGACTCGTATTTTGTTATTTCTTGAGCAGATTGCTCATCTGAAACGCAGTGGTATTGCTCTGAATATCTTCTGCAGCTGATCGGCACGCGTGGTCGTGGCAGAGAGCTATTGCGCTGCTATCAGGCTTCTGGGGAAAGCTAAGCTGTCGGGGGAAATCAAGGGCAACGACCGAGACAAAGTCTCTGTGAGATTTTTGGGGTGCTGACGTTGGAAGCTGCTTTTTGACGTGGAAGCTGCTTTTTGGGAGGTCCTCTCCTTTACCATTTTTCCTGACTCGTCGACACATGTCGATATCGCTGCCTAAAACTCTCCCCGAAACAAACATGGCACCCCTAAGCCTCCGTGTCGATGGCCAGACTTTCCGAGACCCTCAGAACCGAGAAATTACCCTTAGAGGAATAAACGTTGCGGGTGATGCCAAATATCCCAAAACACCCGACATTCCTACATACATCTCTGACAGGTTCTTTGACGGGGACGATGTCTCATTTGTCGGACGTCCATTCTCACTGGAAGATGCCCACGTCCACTTCAAGAGACTGCGGAAGTGGGGCTACAATACTATAAGATACATCTTTACCTGGGAGGCTATTGAGCATGCTGGACCGGGCATTTACGACGAAGAGTGGGTTGCTTTCACTATTGAGGTGTTGCGCATAGCCAAAGAATATGAGTTCTTTGTCTTTATGGACCCCCATCAGGACGTAGTAAGTTGTGATGTTTGAAAAAGCACACATTTATACTGAAATCTTTTAGTGGTCTCGTTTCTCAGGAGGGTCTGGAGCACCGATGTGGACGCTCTATGCTGCAGGACTAAATCCTAAGGCCTTTAAAGCCACAGAAGCGGCGTTGGTCCAAAACACCTACGATGTTCCAGCAGAGTTTCCAAAGATGATTTGGAGCACAAATTACACTCGATTGGTTTGCCAGACCATGTTCACCTTGTTCTGGGCAGGCCGCGACTTTGCGCCCAAAGCTATCATTGATGGAATGAATATTCAAGATTATCTACAAAGTCATTTCATTCATGCATGCGCATACTTGGCGCAAAGAATTCATGAAGCGGGCGATCTTGAGGGCGACGTGATCATCGGATGGGAAAGCATGAATGAACCTCATCGCGGTATTATTGGAGTGCAGGACATTTCAGTCATTCCAGCCGAGCAGCAACTTCAGCTGGGAACATCACCAACAGCATTCCAGGCAATCCTCACTGGCTCAGGTCGTGCGTGTGAGCAGGCAACATGGGGCTTTGGAGGCTTCGGTCCACATAAGACTGGCACAGAACTTGTGGACCCGGCAGGTGAAATTGCCTGGTTACCAGCTGACCACAATGATAGCAAATATGGCTGGCAACGAGACCCGGGGTGGAAACTCGGGCAATGTATCTGGGCTCAACATGGAGTTTGGGACCCATCAACCGACACACTCTTGCAGAAGGACTATTTCTCAAAGAACCCTCAGACTGGTGAACATCTTGATTATGAGAAGTTTACGAACTCATACTTCCTGGATCATTATCGGAATTACAAGAATGCCATTCGAGGTATCTGGTCCGACGCGATCATGTTTTGCCAACCGCCTGTTATGGAGGTGCCGCCTGATGTGAAGGGCACTGCTGACGATGACCCTAACATGGTCCACGCCGTCCATTACTATGATGGACTAACCCTTCTGACAAAACATTGGTGAGAGCTTGCCGATTGATTGAACCAAAAAAAAACATATCAGTTTTACTGACTGTAGCAGGAACCGGCTTTACAATGTGGATGTCATTGGCGTACTTCGAGGCAAATATTATACCCCGGCCTTTGCAGTTAAGATTGGCGAGACAGCCATCCGAAACTGTCTCCGTGACCAGCTGAAGTTCCTCCGCGATGAAAGTCTGAATTACATGGGTAGCCATCCACTGGTATTCACAGAAATCGGAATTCCCTATGACATGGACGACAAGTATGCATACAAAACTGGTGACTACAGTAGCCAGAGCAGTGCCATGGATGCAAATCATTTTGCGCTCGAGGGCAGTGCCTCTAACGGTTTTACTTTGTGGGTATACGTCACACAGGTAACGTATCTCGGCCCCCATTGAATGAAGATGCATGACGCTCACACAATATAGAATGACCATGAATGGGGTGATCAATGGAACGGGGAGGATCTCTCTATCTTTTCCCGCGACGACTTGGAATTGCCCGCAGGAACCACTTCTCGGTCTCTTGATCCCCATTCTCCAGCCTACTCTGAAAGCCATAACAATGGAGAAGATCGGGAAGTCGGGCCTCGTAATTTGAAAGGCGCTCTAGCAACGCCTTCAATCACCAGCGACGTGTCTCAGCCTTCCGTACGGGAAGTTAAAGGTTATCGAGCCGCAGAGGCCTACCTCCGCCCTAGTCCTACTTACGTGAGCGGACGATTGGATGCTCATGTCTTTGACTTGAAGAATTGCACGTTCACTATGTCACTAACAGCCAAGGGGCCTACCACAGCCCATGCTCCCACGGAGATATATCTCCCCGAGTTCCATTTCCCAGAGACCAATATTGCGGTTACCGTGAGTGGTGGCAAGTGGGACATTGATGTGCAAGAGATTCAATCCGTCAAACTCCAGCGCCTCCGCTGGTGGCATGCAGAAGGGGAACAAGATATCATGATTAAAGGTATCAAGCGGAAGCCGGGGGAGTTCGCTAACCCGGGTGAAGATGTTACCTATCTGGAGCAATGCCAGAAGGGAGACTGCGTAATTATGTGATGTTGCTATTTGGGAATTGAGCTTTTATCTGATACTTTGCCTCTTTGCGTGCCATATGGAAATTGATTGCTTAAATTGTTCACTCTCGGAGAGTAGCTCCCGTATATCGTTCCGTATAGTAGATAAGATAAACAACGTAATGAGGGGCAAAACAACATAATAAATGTTTACGAGGCTCATCTAAATTTCAAAAATTCTTCAAAAATTTCAAGACCGCGAAGAAACCGCGAAAGCAAAGACAACGCGTGGAGCATAGGTGAGCGGTGTGACATTGTTGACCAGGGAAAATTCTCAACCCGACAAGTCCCCCGATTGCTTCCTGCACTTGCTATTTAGCCTCCACCAACCCGTGCATTACTACATAAGTACCGATCCATACAAGATCCGACATCCCCAACTTCCAACCCGGTCCCTTCCCGGAAAGAGCGAGTGGCGTGTTTAGATGGCCGTTGCGGTGTCCGACTGCTAACATAGGAACGGCCATCCATTGTGACCTTAACATGAGTGTTGGACTGTGACACGAGATTGAAACATATTGACACCTTCTTCACCGAACCCTTCCGCGGCGCGTCGACAAAATGGCTGCGGAGGAGTTGTCGGAGGGCGGCATGGCCGACATCATCCGTGCCCTGCAGCTCATTCACAACCCCACGTCGTCAAACGAACTCCGGAAAGAGGCCTCGCAATTTGTCGAAGCACTGAAGGAGACCGACGCCGCCGCGCGTAATGGCTTCCTGCTGGCCTCCCGCACCGAACACGAGCCTGTCGTCCGGTACTTCGGTCTCACCCTCCTGGACCATGTCCTTCGCCATATGTCCTTCACCACCTCCGACGAGGCTACGAGCTTGCGGTCGATGATCCTACAACTCGCCGAACACGTCCGACCCGAAGACCCTGCCTACTTCCGCAACAAAATCCCCCAGCTGTGGGCCGAGGCTGCTAAGAAGAGCTGGGGCCTGGATTGGATAGACATGGATGCCGCGCTGGTTCAGTTCTGGGGCGCTTCTCTTGTGCACAAGGAGCTGGTACTATCTGTTCTTGAGACTCTGTCTGAAGACGTCTTCTTCCGTGAGGACATTGTGTCGTCGCTGCGGGGTGGTGAGCTCAACCGGGCACTCGTTGAGATCTTCACCCCTGCGGGTATTGTCGATCAAATCACCTCGGACAAAGTCGCTCCTACAGTTCAGCGATGTGGAGAGGAGGGCTGGTTAGTCCGGATCTGCGACTTCCTCGACAATTGCGTTCAAAATGTGTCGAGTTCAGAACAGGCCCGGGATGCGGCTGTGAAGGCGCTGGCAACTTTGAGATCTGCATTGTCATGGTCCGTCTACAAAGCTGTTATCGCTTCTGGCGCCGTCTCTAGCATTTTCCGAGCGTTACCTTGTCAAGATGACCACGTGCTTTTAGGAGCCATTGAAGCGCTCCATGCGCTGTACGGACGGAACAATATCGGCTGTGAGGAATCCCATGGTTTGGTCTGTCTCATCTTTGAAACCGACTATCTTGTTGTTTTACAGAGACTGTATGAGTGGTCTGTTGTGGGCCCAGACGAGGTCGATGAGCCTAAATACCTGATCTCCAAGAAGCTCTCCGAGATGGTTTCTTACGTCGCTGGGTGCTTGGAAGACCAAAGATTCCTCAGAGACACCATGAACCGTTTGAATCTTCCTCCGTTCTTGCAATTCATGATCAACATCATGCAGCATCAAAGCTTGACAGTGTCCATACCTTGTCTCCATTTGTGGTCTAAGCTGTTATTGATCTCCAAGATCAGCAACATGGAATTTGTGCAGGAGCAAACACCCCAGTTCCTCAACATTTGTACCTCAAGACTGATCCGCTGGGAGTCTCTTCCTACCGATGCTGATGATCCCACGGTGCAGTTCCTGGTTGAGGACATTGATACGACACCAGAGAGGCATGCATTTGTTGGAAACTACCGACGCTATTGTTCTTCTATTATTGAGACGATTGCCTTGAAGAGACCCCAAGAGGCAGTGCGCGAAATTTTGGGCCGTGTGGATGGTAATTTGGACAACTTGTACAGTGGTGTCCAACCATTCAGCAGTGAGCTTTTGCCATCCTCGAGGGTACCGTTTCAGAGACTGACACTTATCTTGCAGTGGAAACTTTCAGCAAATCCTCTATTCCTCTCATGCGAGCGGATGCCCAATTCGCAGTTGTCGAGGCCGTTATCAAGGGCTACAACAAGTGGGTTTCAGCCCACGGAAAGGCGCCTCAACATGATGTAGGACAACGTGACTGTGCTTCTTATACCCAACCGCTAATACCATGAACAGGAGTCTCAGCGGATTGAATTGGAACATGCCGTGGAAAACTGGGCATCAAGCATGATGCAGAGATCTTATGAGGTATGTGATTCGGCAATACAAGGAATCGCGTCACGTATTTACGTTTGCGTTGTAGGATCCGGTGATGAAACAGAAAGTCATCAAATTGGTTGTCGATATTTCTTCCAGGGCTTTGGACAGTCATCCAGGCTTTGCCCTCAAGGTCCTGGAGCACATCCTTTTGACCCGTCTACCAGATCGACCTGAGTATCCGTTATACTCAGAGGCAGTCAAGGAGCTTCATGGACTTGCAAGCCATGAACTTCGCCGCTTGGCTATGCGTTATTCTGACTACTTCGCTGTAAGCTAGGGTCTATACCCTCAACTGTACAGGATTCGTTCTAACGGTGCTCCTCACAGTCGTTCTATGACTTGCTTGAGCCAAAGATCAGAGAAATCACATTGGCCAACCGCGTGGATGATAAGTTGCAGATGGAACTTACATCCATTTTGCTCATCATCATGTAAGGATCTTTTCACTGCCCAGAGATGTTTCATGCTGACTTTTTAGGCAACGTGCAAACAATGTCGATGGTTACTTGCGTCAGAGTCGGCTTGCGTCTTTCCTGCAACCTATCAGGGAGGCATGGCAAGACGAGCAATTCCGTCAAGCCAGCTCATCATTCCCGGGATTTTGTAACATGCTTGGTCTGGAGAATGTTGGCCCATACATGCAATCCAAACAAGCACAAAAATTGGAAGATTGGTCATTGGTCGAATTGGATAACGAGGGAAAGGTCGTCCAAGAGGAAATGACCCGAAAGTTCCAGGTATGAGACGGATCTCTTTCTATGTTAGATCAGACTGACTCATGCTATCTTAGTTGTTGCCATTGCGTGGCACCAAGACTATGCTTGCTGTTTCAACTGACCGACTGAAGAAAACTGCTCAAGCTTATGAGGTTGCTTGTGAGATGTGGCACGAACTGATTCCTCTGATCCTTCCAACTTTGCTGCAGCTCGTCAGGTAATTATAGGTGCAGCTAAATCCCTGTTTCTAAAGCTAACTTTATACATCTAGTCATGCTCACGCTTTCCACAATCCCGTCAATTGGAATATGGTCGAAGGCATGCAACCAGTTGTGGAACGTATCCTGACTGACCGATTTTGGCAAGCTGGTATCTCTACCGGCAGTCGTGATGAGTTCTATGCCCGAATCACCTCGTCCAAGTCCACATTGGAAGGATTTGCATCATCGGTTCGAGGCAAAGTTAGAGCGGTCCGCGAAGCATGCTATTCCATGCTATTCAGCATGAGTAGGTTGCGAGAGCACTTCTACGGATTCGCAGAACTCCCTGGTCCCCTAGCCGAGGCCTTGTTTGTTGACTCACCACATCTATCCTCTCATCAGTTTTCTGTTCTTCTGAACATCTCACGCTGTCTGATCGATGATTGCCCCGTGCGATTCCGCGGTCAATTCTTGCCTCCGATGCTTTCTACTCTATTTACCAACATCGACCGCAAAGTCACCACCGAATGGGAAATCATTGAACAGCGCAGGGACGGAATCTCGGACGGAGATCTCACTACCGAGATGAAGTCGGAAAGCGTCCTGCGCCAGTTAACATACTCTGCTGTGATCATGGTAGCCAGCCTATTCGATCCGCAAAGAGGCGGTAGGAAACCCCTTTTCCAAGGCTCGCAGTCATCAGTACACACAAAACTGACCGAATATGAACCATCAGACCCTGATGGGACCGAAACAGACCCCAGCGCACCTCAGCCAACCCCGGAGCTCTCTGACTCCATTCGCCATTTTGTACTTTCTTCCCCTGAGATATTTGAGCCCGTCATGCTCTTCTGTACCCACGCTCTTCGCATGCGCGATACTCGTTGCTGCAGTATCATTACTCGCGTCATCCGATCCATTCTTCAAGACTTTGCACCCCCAAACAACACACCTACTACCGCAACGATTCGTGAGTTCATTTGTACCGAGGTTCTCAAGGCTTGTATTACATCTGTACATGAATCCTACTTTGTCGACATGCAAAAAGACCTTGCTCAACTGATTGCATCCATCTGGGTCCTCTACGGCTTCTGCAGCGAGACCCCTCGCGCCGTTTTCTTGAGCTTGCCAGGAATCACCGAAGAGAAGGTTGCCCACACCGAAGCTACGCTCCACCGGTGTACTTCTCCGCGTCAGCAGCGTGCATTGATTCTTGAGCTTCTCGAGCCACTGCGTGGTATCAGTGTCGCGGAACAAGGCAAGATTTTGGGGTCCCGCGAGGAGCGCCGTAAGGCTCGTTCGGCCTTGCAAGAGAGATACATGACCAATGAGATGGAGACTCAGCAGCAGAATCACCGTGTCGACATCAATGACGGTCCCGATCTTGGTGGCGTTGCTGACCTCTTTGGGTGAGCTCGACATTACTCGCTTTCAAATATGATGACGTTCACAATATCCAGTTCCAATAGACACCGCTGCAGCCGGTTTACAATCTCAAATTCCAGCAGCCTTTCTCTTGTCCATCATTTGCTTTTTATTTGTTCATTTGCGTCGGTGCTTATCAAATATCCCCATCGTGAGCGAGCGGTGGCGCTTTGAGAAAGTAATATTATAGAAAAAGGAAATTCAGCCACGCTTCATCTATATTTCCCTTTCCCATCGCCAGCTTGCTCACACTGCGGGGGAATTAAAGTGCGATT